GCAACTGGGACACAGAGGGGTTATTGGGTGGGATGGGACACTGTCCTACAGCAACTGGGACACAGAGGGGTTATTGGATGGCAGAAACACCAGAATCACCTGGGCCAGACTGAGTGTGAATTGTGTTTGAGGGCTCTCTGAATCCTTGGTGAAAAAGCAGAATAAATCCTAAAGTCCTAAAGTCCATAAAGTCCTAGACAGAGAAGTCCTACAGCACTTCAGTAAATAACTAAATGAACCAACAGTGCATTTGAGATGGACTCAATTTCTGGTCCATTCAGGAGATGGAGAAATAGTTTCAATTCCCTCTGTTGAGAGGAAACACAGGGAGAGGACAGACCCTGTTCTGCTTCCCTTCTGCACAGCTGAGACACTCACTGAGCATTGGAGGGTATTTTGAGAGAAGTGATAAAGTCTCTTGAACCAGAAGAGCAGAACTTGCTCTGTCAGTTCAGTGAGACCCTTATTAAACTGGGTGGTCCAGCAGGACCCTGCACATTCCCACTGGGATTATCTCCTGAATCTTTAAGCAAAGTTTTGTAAGCAGAGCCATCCCAGTTGCTGGTTTCCAAGCTCCCCTGGGAGCTCCATCCCCTCACAGGAATTACCACCCAAGCATAAAACCCTGCTTCAGATCTGCTTCCATCCACCTCAGCCTAATGAAAACTTGGGCATGGACCATGAACTGGTGTCATTGTTCCTCTGGAGAACAAAGACTTTCCCACCCTGTTAATAAGTTGGAACTTGGAGGAGCAGGGGATAGTTTAATTTATCACCTGGGGGTGAATGGGCAGCCTGGGCAGAAGAACAAATTAAAAAATTCTTCTGGTGTAGAAACCACTGAGATTTTGAGGTTTACAGCCATTTCTATAAACTCTGCACTTGCTGCTGAAAGATCACCACTGTTTGTCTTTGGGTCTGAGTCAACAGTGCAGGACACATTAAATTAATTCACTCTTTTAGGACCATTTTCCCCCAGCAGGCAGCTGTCCAAGCACAGCAGAGACCAGAGTTAACACACAGCCAGGGCTGTGAAAGCCTCTGTAAAAGCTGGCTCTGTGAACAAGCTGAAGAGCAAAACTGTGCCATGTAATCAAAATTACCCCCCTGGACACAGAACTGTGTCCTGCAGGCACAGGAACCCCTGTAAGGGAATATGGACACCAAGGTCTCCACGAGCTCTGAGCTTCTTCCTCCCTCTCTCACCAAGATCTGAGCTGCAGGTGGGATTTTCAGCAGCCAAAAGGGCAGTTGGGGCACTTTGGGATGAGGGGCACTGAGCTGGCTCAGCCCCAGGCAAGCCCAGGTCAGAGAAAACATCCCACTGACCCCTCTGAGAAAACCAGTTCCCAGCTCTAAACACCTGAGTCCTCTGCCAAGATCTGCCAACAACACCCCAACATCCTCTCTCCCAAGGACTGCAGTGCTGAGCATCATTAACTCTCAAGGTTTTTTCCCAATCCTGTCCTAGGGGATGTTGCTGGGATTTCTGGACTGCCTCTAAATTTCCCCTACAAAGGCTTCCTACAGCTGCACATTCCACTGCAGGATTTTATTCCTTGGCTTTTCCACCAGCAGAATGGTTTTAAGGAGCAGCTTTGCTCAGGCTCAGAGTTGCAGAGTCTTTCACTGAGTTGTGTCACACACACACACAATTCCAGAAAACACACTTGTGAAAAAGCCTGTCCATCCAAATCCACAAAATCCACTGGTTTTTACTTATTTACCTTTTAACCCCCCATTATTCCAGAAGTATAAACCAGAGCTCCTTCTCATCAAGTGCATTCACCTCTGACACTAAGCTAATTCCTACTACTAAATAAATTATCCCCTCAAATAATACAAATGAGAAAACACCTTTCTTTAGAATGCCTAAAAAGAAAGAAAAAACCCCATGTGGACATGTTTTATGGCATTATTTCAGGACAAAAACAGATGGAACAGAACCCCTATTATTCAGTCAAAACCTTTCAAATAAATACAGTGGCTTTGGCTAAAGTTTTGTTGCAAAATTTGTTACTCTTGATTGCAAGAAAATGTCAATAGGGAAAAAATACAACAGATTGAAATATTACTCTCTAAATTAGGTGGTTTTTTTCAATAATGGCAGCAAGATCCAGCTCAGCCATCAAAAACTTACCTGAGGAACAAAGAAATCGTGGCTGTTCTGCTTTGGCTCTACCCAAGTGCCACGTGAACCATTAACACAGGCAGGGTTTATTTTAACACACCACCCATAAATTATTTGGGATGTTGTGTTGTAAAACACAGCTGTTACTGTTGTTACTGCTGTTCCTCCTTTCCAAGCTCACACTCAGTAAAACTCCACCATATTTTCCTTTCCCTTCTGACCCACCTCCAGCTACGAGAACCCCAAACGAAACACCCTCAGCTCCAGTTGAGAACATTTCAACGTTTCTCTACCTCAGAATCTTTGAGTCTCACATAATTAGATGGGAAAACTCCTGATTTATCACCCAGCGTGCCCGTCCACCAGTCACCATCTTTCTTTGTCACCAGAATCATGTCACCTTGTTGGAAAGTGAGGTCTCCTTGCTCCGAGCTCTCGTAGGTGTACATGGCAACGTACTCTGGGAGAGGGACACGGGCAGAAAACAGGGAGAAAACACTTCAGAAACTGCTGCATTACCACGTGCAAAACCCAATTCACACAAGTGGTTTATTCACAGGCTCGATGGAAGACCAATTTGTTATTTACTACTTACAGAGACCTCAATATTCCATGCAAAAAATGATACCTAGCACAGCTAAATATAAGGGATCAAAAGGATGCCTCGGGGGGTTTGATATGATTGGCTTGTATAATTAAAATATGCATAGATCATTTATATCCCTCTGCTAACACGTCTCCCAGTGGTTGCTGGTTTGTGCTGGTGCCTGGAACTCTCAGTGTTTGGGATGGGAAGTCTCAGCATCCAGAATTTTGGATCCAGCTGCTGTTGGCCCAAGGGCACAGGGAATTCTTTCAGCCCCTCTCACCCACAGATGGGTCTGAACCTGCTCTGGGCAAACACACCCAACTCCTCAGTGGTCCAGTGCAAACCCACCAAAATGGGCTGGTGCTGAGATAATTCCACCAGAACTACAGGCAAAAAATCCACATGAATTATTAGAAAGCCCAATTTCAGACAATTCAGCACCATTATCTACAGAACTCGCTGTATCCTATTGACCTGAGCGTTCCCATACTTTTCTGGGCACAAAGCAGGTTCCTCAGGCTGATTTTCCCCTGTTCTGGGCCCAAGAGCAGCTCCCAAGATTCCAGAAAGACTTCCCTGCCCATGGAACAGGAATGTTCACGTGTTCCAGTGCAGCTGGAAATTGTTCTTTGTGCTTGAACACTAAATCTGACCAAAAAAACCTTCTCTGGGGGTAGTTCAGCAAGAATTCCAACCAAATTCCTGTTCCCAAGGAAAGCCTGCAGCTGAAGAACTCCCACTTCTGTTTGCACCCCCCCCACACTGAACATCACCATCCACACAGGAGCCTTTCCTAAATCCTCCCAAGGGAACAGAAGGTGCTAGATCCATCTTTTTTATGTCTTCAAAAAAGCTCTATTATTTAAAAAGCTCACTACTTAAAAAGCTTTATTATCTCTTAAAAATACAGCTCCTTGGAAATGTTTTCCCAAAAGCTGAGTTCCTTTTTAATACAAACATATAACCTGATATATACCTATAAATACATATAGATATATAACAAGACTTAGCATGTGTACCATTGCTTTTGCTCAAACATGAGGAAAACCAGGAGGAGATGATCTTTAAGGTCCTTTCCAACCCAAACCATTCTATGATTCCAGGAAATCCAGAGTGAGCCAGACCAGCTGTATTTTGAAATAACTGATTATCTCCCCTTCCTCGTAGGTGGATCTTTGCTGTTCCCTCCAGTCAGGAATTCCCCTTTTAAAACCCTCCAGAGGCTGGAAATGCTCTGATAATTCTCTGTCTGTGCCCCAGGCTCCATCCCTGACCAGAAGGATCCCAACATTCTATAACTCACTGTCACTGCTTTAATTAAGAGTTTAATGTAACATTGGAAATGAGCTTTGGGGGGAGTTGAGACATTAATTCCCAATTCCTGACATGGACAGATGTGTTTATTTGGCATAACCCCCTCCCAGACCAGAGATTTGTCACCAAAATACTGGCAAAAAAATAAAAACATTGGGAAAAGTTACAAAATACAGAAAATATCCTGTGATATGTTAAATTATTTCTTCCACATACACAACACATAAATTCTTGCTATAATAACTTTAAATCATTCTAGAGGCAAATTGATTTGCACCTCAACTGGAACCCCCCAGTCTGCCCCTGAGGTTGATTTTGGTAACAAGCAGAGTTGTTGTGGTTAATGCCAGAGGAAGATCCTCTCAGTGCCATGGTTTGGAGTCCTTACCTTCCCCTGACATCGTTGCCTTTGCTGCTGGGGATGCTACTCTTTTCAGACTAGCAGGGCTTTCTGAGGATCCAGAATCCATGCTTTAGGAGAAAATAATGGTTATATAAGGAATTCAATCTCTTCAGAAAAATCACTATTGTATTTCAAACTCAAAAATGCATATGCACCCCCAAACAATTCCCTGTGCTTTAAAAAAGCACTAACTGTGCAAAATAAAGTTCTGAAGTCCAGCTGTGGTTTCACTGAGGCAGATGCCTTAAACAGAGAATTTTCTGCATCTCCTCTTCTTCCTCAGCAAAAAAAGTAATCTAAGATCCTTCTCATTTGTATTGCTGATGTCCATGTTGCCTTCACACTAAATAGAATTTACATTCCTCCAAGAACAATGAGAAATTATTTAGATTTGAGGAATCTCTCTTAATTTTGGGGACAGATAAGCTGTGACTTACACAGGTGTAATTCATAAAATCCAACAGACTCATTTTTTTGGTGCAAGTCACCTAAAATTGAGAAGGTCCATTAATGCTTTGTTGGTGAGGCAAGACCCAGGGAGAACTGGGGTCAGTTTTATTGCCCACACGGATTTCCAAGGCTGGAAGTCCAAACTCTCCAGAAGAGTCAGACAAGAAAAGGCACTTTCACAGAGTAGATTCTCAGCTTTAAAATCCAACTGTGCAACTCCTCCCAGGTATTTATCTATTCCAGTAGGGGAAAAGCAAACAAAATACCTCGTTGACTTCCTAATGGGGCCTGAAATGAGCTTCACGTAGGATTTGGGGAACCACCCCTTTTGTCCCTGGACCTCTCCAAACCACCACATGTCTTGCTGCTCCAGCACTGTGATGACATCGTTCTTGTTGAAATTCAGGTGGTTGTCCTTTTTCGCCCTCCAAGGATACAAAGCCTGTGCTTGAAGCCCCTCCACTTTTTCACCCTTAAAGAAAAGAGACAGAAGTCAGTCATGTCCCCCCCCTTTCACCAGGAAAGGTGCTTAAGGAATTATATTCTCAGGCTACTTAGAGCAACAATACACAGCCCCTCCCTCAGCTAAAGCAATGCCAGTTAAACTTCCTAAGTAATTCCAGAAATGTTTACAGCCCTCCTACATTTCTGGCTGTTGACACATAACCAGTATTAAGTTAAATAGTTTTACAGTTAAAAAATACATGTAATAAACCTTCAGGCAACTGATTTGGCAGAGCATAAGTAAATAAGTAAATATGGAAAATGATGCTTTGCTGATATTATTCACTGTACATTCCAGGGTTTTTTTGCCTAAAGACAGTGAGATATTCAGCACTTTCCAGAACACAGTTCTGTTTGTTGTTCTGTTGAGGAAAAGGAAATGCCTGAACAGATGGACAGAATTCAGCTGCTCTGAAGCTTTGCCATTGCTATTCCACTTAACCACACAATCCACCTGGGAGTGAAGGTGGTCAAGAAAGCCCCAAGGAAGTGACCCAACTCTGGACCACCAAAATCCAAACCAGCCAGCCCAGAACAGCAGAACAGCAACTGCTCTGTGTTAAACCTGCCCCAGATGCTGCCAATGGATCACAGAACCATAGAAGGGTTTGGGTTGGGAGGGACCTTATGGATCACCTTATCCCATCCTCTGCCCTGGGCAAGGACAACTTCCACCAGCCCAGGTTGCTCCAATCCCCGTCCAACCTGGCCTTGGACACTTCCAGGGATCCAGGGGCAGCCACAGCTTCTCTGGGCAACCTGGGCCAGGGCCTCCCCACCCTCCCAGCCAGGAATTCCTTCCCAGTATCCCATCTATCTCTGCCCTCTGGCAGTTTAAAGCCATTCCCCCTTGTCCTGTCCCTCCAGCCCTTGGAAATAGTCTCTCTCCATCTTTCCTGTGGCTCCTTCAGACCCTGCAAGGCCACAATGAGTTCCCCCCAAAGCTTCTCTTCTCCAGGTTGAACAATCCCAGCTCTCCCAGCCTTTCCTCCCAGCAGAGCTGCTCCAGCCCTGGCATCCTCTTGGGGCCTGCTCTGGACTCTCTGCAGCAGCTCCATGTCCTTGCTGTGCTGTTCCCCAGGGCTGGAGCAGCTCTGCAGGGGGGGGACACTCCCTGTTCTCCCTCCAGGCTGGAAAAGCTTCCCCCACCTCAGGTGACAGGTTCAACACAGGGCCAAGGTTCCCACTTTGCTTTCCAAACCTTTGCCAACAGTTGCAGTGGCTGCAGGAGCTCACCTGGCCCAGCACAGGGGAGGGAGAGGAGCCCGTGA